CAGCGAGCTGGCCGGGGCGCTTCTCCATCTTGTCCTGAACAGAATAACGGTGACGGCCGGGCTTTCGTCCTCCTTCACGCCCCTGAGCCAGTCTGCACCTGTGCCTTTCTCCCCTGGGCAAGTGACCGCAAACCGCGCCCTAGGACGCCGGCCCCCAAACCCGCAATCCGAGGGCAGGCGGCGTGGGGACCTCGGCCCCGCCACTGACCCCCGGCACGCGTGCGGTGCTTGCGAGAACCATCTCTCGGATGAGTGGGCCGGTGTCGCACGATGCCACTGCCGTGCTCCAGCGGCTCCTGTGACGCGGGAGCGGTGTTTCGCCTCGTCAGTCTCACCCGGGAGCAGTGGGGTGAGACGCTGAGCATCCTTCCAGAAACACGGACTGGAGACATTCTCCCAGAGCATTTACAAAACAAGACTCTCGTGCTCTCCCTTCAGAAAGGGGTATCTTACTTCGCACCGGGGAAAACAATGCCCATTAGTGGGCACCAAAGAGATGCCCCCGAGGCCCTGACGTGAAGGTGCACATTTCTGTCCCTCTTGTCCAGGGCTCCGCCTCGGGGGACAGGGAAGGGGAGTCCCCGCCCGCCCCTGCCCATCCCCTGCCCCGTCCCTCCTTCTCGGAGTGTCACCGCCCTTCTCCAGGGAAGCAGTGGGGTGAACTCCCCCCTGCTCTGGTGTCCCTCCCCCTGCCCTTCTAGCCGGCAGAGGACATTCTGGACCAGGGCACAGCCGTCGGCAATTCAGTGTTTATGGACATCATAAAACAGACATGCAGAATGAGGATGTTTCCCTAATAACCCAGGAGCACAGTAAAGATATATGATTAACAGTGAACGCACCTTGCTTCTTAAAGGCACAGGTGCCCTTTCCAGGGTCTGTCCGACCGAGAAATCACTCATGTTTATTGGCAGCCAAAGGGACACTTGCCTGTGACTGGTGGTGACCCTGAGTGATTCCTTTGTCTCCTGTTAGCCGTCAGATGTAACAGAAAGCAAGGTGGCCCAAAGGACTCTGACGACCACATCTGAAACTCTGGAGCATATCTTGTTAGCGTCTTGCCCGGGCTACGTGCAGGGTCGTTAGGGACCCATGGCACCTCAGGGGCAGGAATAGGGTGGACCTTTTCCCCTTTCGGTTTTGGAGAGGGGGACTTGGTGTTCTGCATAGTTTAATTTGGTCCCAGATGTCTGGACATGATTTCTCTCTCTGCCCTTCTCTCCTCCTTAGGCTTAGTTTGCAAGACAACTTACCCGTGAGGGGAGTTGCCTCTGGGGCAGCCAGCAGTGCAATTTTCCTTCATTGTTTTATAGATTGCAGCAACCACAACAATCTGTGCTGAGCTCTTCCTATGGCCCAGGCACTGTCCTACGTGGTTTGCACAGATCGGTCATTTAATCCTCTGGGTAACCCGATGTGGCTGGGTGATAAAAGCGAGCAGCTTGAGTCATGACGTGGCCAAACTCATCCTGCCCTACCCGGGTCACGTTTCCATTTAGGGCTGCGAAGACGGGGCGGGATGGCGCTCACCCATGCGGGAAATATACTCCGCACACACTTCTCCTCTCTCAGAAACACCCTCCCCCATGGTTGACGAGGTGCGCTGTGCTTCCGAGGTAGAAGGGTGTGGGTATGATATTCTAGTGAGGATGCCCCAGAGGGATTTGAAGTTGGCAACAAGCAGTGGACTGTACGTGTTGCTGGGACTCTGTCCACCGTATGATAACCTGCACATATCAAAGCAATGTCACAAGATTAATTTTGGGGAGAATTCTGCAGGAGAAACTCTGACCCAATAAACCAACTGGTTATAGTAGAAAAGACAAGGCTTTTGCAAAAATCTATTAAAGATTATAAAGACTGACAGACTAAAGGTTTTGCTCCATCTATGGACTCGAACACATCGCACACGGTTGTAGGGGCTGTAGCAAGAGGAATGGAAAATGGCTAACTTACTGTTTGTAACAGCCCAAGATGGGAAGCGACATAAATATCCATGATGGGGGACTAGCTGGAAAAACTATGGTACATCCCCATGGCTGGGCTGCTAGAGAAGGAAGGAAGACGGTTCCTAAGTTCTTTTGTGGAGTGAGCTTGCAGTGTGGGGTGGCTAGAATGTAAGCAGAAAGCTGCAGGTTCACGGGGTTGAGGGTTCAGAGGGCAGAGCCTGGGATTGTCAGAGAGAAAGTGGAAATGAAAGGGATAACTCTCAAAGAAGGAAGTCTGTGGCTGGGAGTGACCAGTTCTGTAAGAACTCCCTTGTTCCTTCCCTGATCCATCTCTGAATTACACATTTATGTGCCTAGTAGGGTGAGAGAGCTTAGCACTGATATGTCTATATCAGTGCTCCCACATGGGAGACAAAGCTTGGAGTCTGAGTCCAGGCTTCTCTCTCTCTCTCTCTCTGTCTCTCAAAATAGATAAACTTAAAAAAACCAAAACAACTCCCCCCAAACCAAAGTGATCACTCAACAATTTAGCTGCCAGCTCGAACAAAAACAAACACTCTTCAGAGGAAGATAACAAAATCCAGAGTCTCTGCAATGTATTATTCGTAGTGTAAGTCTACACTAAAAAAGAGACATGCAAAGAGACAGGAAAATGTGATATGCAGTCAAGAAGAAAAATCACCCCCCAGAAGCCCAAGATGATGCGTATGTTGAAATTAGCAGACCAAACTTTTAATGAAGCAAAATTATAGTCATGTCCAAGGACTGTGAGAAAAGGATGTTAGTGGATAGTACCGGATGGAGACTCTCAAGACAGAAATCTATGACGAGGAATCCTATGAAAACTGTAGAACTTAAAAGTATATCTCCAAACATTCATGGATGGGCTTACAGCAGTTTGAGTGAACAGAAGAGTCAGGAAACTTGAGGACTGATGAACAGAAATTATGCAGCAAAGGATAAACATTAAAAGCAGAAGAGCAGCAAAGGAAAAACATTAAAAAAAAACACCCAGAGCCAACCACTTGAAGGATAATAGCAAATTTCTAACATACGTGCAATTAGAATCTCCGAAGGAAAGGTGAGATAGAATGCCACGTAGAATGCATTCCAAGAAATAAAACTGAACATTTCACAAATTTGGAGAAAACCCGAGTTTACAGACCATGGATACTCAATAAATACCAGGTAGGACAAACAAACAAACAAAAATACCAGGGCCAGGTGCATCATAATCAAACTGCCGCAATCCAAAGACAAAGGAAAAACACCTTGAAAGTAGCCAAAAAAAGGACACGTTCTTTGCAGGGGAATAATGATAAAGGAAAAGCTGATTTCTCGTCAGAAATGACGAAGGCAGAAAAAAAGGATCCAACATCTTTAAACTTCCCTCAAAATACAAGACCAAAACCAAACCACGTATGCAGAATTTATACCCTGAGAAACCATCTTTCAACAGGAAGGCAAAACAGAAATATGTTTGGATAAGTAAATCTGACAGAGTCAGTCACTAGCAGTTCTGCACTGCAAGAAATGTTAAAAGAAAAAAGAAATTCTTCAGGCTGAAGGCCTAAAACACCAGTTAGAAGTTGGAATCTACAGGGGTAAATGCAAGCACCCGAAATGACATACATGTAGGTAACCATAAAAAATTACTTTTAGGGGCGACTGGCTGGCTCAGTTAGAAGAGCGTGCAATTCTTTACGTTATTTTATTTTTGAAAGAGACAGAGTGTGAGTGGGGGAGGGGCAGAAAGAGAGGGAGACATAGAATCCGAAACAGGCTCCAGGCTCTGAGCTGTCAGCACAGAGCCCGACGCGGGGCTCAAACTCACAAACCACGAGATCATGACCCGAGATGGAGTTGGACGCTTAACTGATTCAGCCACATGGTGCCCCCACCCCAATTTTTTTTAATGTTTACTTATTTTTGAGACACAGAGAGAAAGAGAAAGACAGAGTGTAAGCGGGGCAGGGGCAGAGAGAGAGGGAGACACAGAATCTGAAGCAGGCTCCAGGCTCTGAGCTGTCAGCACAGAGCCTGACATGGGACTTGAACTCATGAGCTGTGAGATCATGACCTGAGCTCAAGTCAGACGCTTAACTGACTGAGCCACCCAGGTGCCCTTCTCAACATGTTTTATAAGGCCATTATAATCATATATAAACACAAGAAAGCCATTACAAGAAAAAAGTTACAAACCTGTATCCCATTTGAACGTTAACACAAAAATCCTTAACAATTATTAATATTATTAGGAAATCAAATTTAGCAATATGTAAAAGAGAATACATGTTACATCAGGGTAGAGATCCTGTATACCTTTTAAAAAACTCATTCTTAAGTATTTTTCAAGGAATACAAGTGCAGCAATCATGGAAAAACAAAGTTGTTTTAATGTTTAAAAATCAGTCAACGTAATTTGCTATCTGAATGGAATAAAGGAGAAAAATCAAATGATCATCCACTAGATGAAGAAAGAGTATGTGACAAAATCTAATACCTGTTTATGATAAAAAAAAAACATCAGAAACCCAGGAATAAAAAGATTGCCGCAACCCATCTCAACAGATGCAAATATAACACCTGATGCAGTTTACCAAGAATTTTGTCAAAGAACATTTGATGGAAAATGTTTATTAGCACCTAGGGGAAGAAGACATGTTCAACCTCATAAGAGGCATTTACAACACACCTGTGGCTCATGTCACACTTGGTGGAGAGAGTGAACGCATTTCTCCTAAGGCTGGGATAAAGGAAGGGTGCCTGCCCTCATTTTTACTTAATTGTATCAGAG